TCTCTCCCTCCCTGTCTCTCTCTCACACCCACACTAAACTGAACAGTTGATTTCTGAAACGTTGAGTTTCTTTCCTCTACAGTCCACAGAGAGAAGTCAGTATCAGAGTATTTGAAAGTAAAATAATGTAAAGTTGTATCAACACTCACCCTGCCTCAGTCTTTAGTTTTTAGTCTTTAGTTTTTAGTTTTCCTCCTTCTGCTCCGTCGACTCAAAATGGAGTCAGAACAAACTGTACACTTTCAGTTTCCTCCCTGATCACATGGCCTGTCTCACCCCTCCCCTCTCCATTTACAGGAAATCAGTTGACTCTGTGTGTGTGTGTGTGTGTGTGTGTGTGTGTGCGTGCGTGCGCTCACACAGATCAGCTCTGTAACATGATCCTTTATTAATATCTCTCGGCTTAAACAGACTTAATTAAAATCTCATCTTCATTTTTAAATCATGTAAATAAACCTACTTTGTTGTTGTTGTTGTAAAACTGCTCTTTCTGTAAAGTTTTCTTTGTTCCAGGAAACGAACTGCCCTCCTTGCGACATGGAGGAGGACTCTGGCTGTTAAACTCGTTACTGAGACACTCCTCCAAAACAACCGCAGGTTCAACTATCACATGTCTGCTTTTAAACATTCTCCTCCATACAGAGAGCAGTGAACCCTCAGCTCTCACACCTGTCCATTATTGGGTAACCTGGCAGGAGTTTGGAATGCTCCCCAGAAATAATAAAAGTAATAGTATCTGAAGTTCTTCCCTGAACCTTACAGATGATACACAGACACAATCCGTGCAAGAAAAAGCTGTTTTTAGTGTTCTCTGGAAACACTTCCATTATTGTTTTTTTCAGATCATCCAATCACAACTGAAGAACACGTGTGACATTCACTGTCAGACAGTTTATTATGTATTGCCTCTATTGATTGATTTATAATGGATAAGATAAGATACCTTAGATGTTTTTATCTAATACTAAGAGTCCGCAATGTTCCTACAGTAGCCCAGAAAGGACAAACCAAACACTGGCCACTAAATCCGACACACTGGACCTTTTAATTGATATTTTGTAAGATCTGCTGTTTGTCCAGTCCCAAATGTGTTTGTCCAGAAGCTTGTCTGGAAGCTTCTCTCTCCTCTTCTTAGCTTGCTCCGTCAGCGTTGTCTTCGGCCACAGAAGCTGCTGAGCACACACCAGCTCCAACCACCGTTACACTGTGCACAAACATGAATACAGAGGCACCATTCGCCCCGTTACAAGTCAGCATCGAAAGGACTCTAAAGCTGTTGTTTTAAGGTAGAAAAGTTACATAATGTATTTATTAAATATGCTATCACACACCATCCAGACATAGAAAAGAGCATAAAAGGTTTATTAAATACAGAAGACCTGTTTCTATGTTGACACAAAAACAAAACCAAAGAAGGAATCTGTGTACAAAACAGTCAGTGTGACGTTATCAGCCATATCCAGCACGGGTTTATGAGACTGGGGGGGGGGGGGGTATTTCCTTTAATGGCGTTTTTGTACAAAACTGCTTTATTTATATGATTGTTGATGAACATGAAGACGAGGAGGAGCTTTTCTGGCCAGGTTCACCCTCTCTGCATCGGTTTTCTTAAGAACTTACAATGTGAACAGCAGGAGATGAGAAGTTAATAATTATATATATATATGGTAGAAGAAGTACTCACATACAGTAAACACTGCTTTTAGCTGTTGCAGGTAAAACAGCCCAAGGTTTTATAAAATATAAAATAGTTCAGTTCAACTTTGACAGTTTCCATCAGTGATAATCATCCCATATATATATATATATATATATATATGAAACACTATATAAATTGATCATTCTGTATAATGAATACTTTTACTTTTGATACTTTAAGTACAATTTGCTGTTAATACTTTTAGTTTTACTTTTCAAGTTTCAGTTTCAATCGATTCTCAAAAAAGTTAGATTTTTACTAAATTCTTAGAAAGATATTAAATCATTCCCGGGGGGAAAAATTATCTAAATTGTTAACTAGTTATTATCATTGTTGTGGTTTGCTGTAAAAACAGTCAGTCTAATTTAAAATAATGTTAAGATCTGTAACTGTAAATAACCATTAAATTACTGCTTTTTTAAAGAAAATGTCCTTTTTTAATTCATTCATTTCATTTTGTAGATATTTACTGTTTATTTAATAGATAAAAAAAGAACTAAAAGTATTAGTTGTGTAATTTTAATGGATTAGTTAACTGACAGATAATCCTGTATAATGATTGGAAGTTGAATAAATGTTCGTCTATCAGTGTATAAGCATTGGAAACTGTCCAAATACAGTTTTTATCAGTGTAAACACAATAATTACTGTAATTTCCACAGATAAATGACTTTTATTACAGTTCTATAACTTTTAACATTCCAGATTAAAATAATAACAAATCCAATCAATAACAGCACTCTGCTGTAAATGTAAGTCTGATTATTTGTGTTATAGCAGAGTTCACCTTTATTTATAGCTCATTGTTTTACACTGTAAATATCTTTAATTAAACATTTTTTTAAAAATACACAAGATTTTGTGTAAAATTAAAGCTAGAAACTGTATTTTAATTATAAAATATTACGTCATTTTCCTTCTATATTTTCTGTATTGATCTTATTACAGCTCACTCAGTGGAATATATATATAAAACATTTGGAAATAAAACTATTGATTTCTTCTGCCACCTTTAGGTATTTCTACTACCTCACTAATGTGCCACAGTAATGTAATATTTTTGAGTTTTGAGACTTTACAGAGTGGCGGAGATATGTGTTGATTTAATTAACAATCCCATATATCAGTGATATATCCGGCCGCCAGAGATTTCCATGGCACAATGAATACTTATCAGTGCATTCTTCATTAAAGCTGCGGTTCTCTGCATCAACTTTCTGCTTAAGGCTCTTCCAGAGTGCCATTATTCATGCTTTAAACATAATCAGAAGGCCTTTCTCCAGTGTTCTCCACAAACTACACCCTGCATGTGACAGTGATTGACTGACAGCCTCACAAATATGAAGCCTGAAATATCGCTATCGCCCCCTAGTGGCTTGCTGCAGTGCAGGTAATATGAGTGTTAACACCGACAGAGGCTAAACAATAACATACATTTGGAATATCAAATAATAACATATTACTATTTTATTTTACGAGCATCTGGCCCTCACAGTGTCTGCAGAGAAAGATTCTGGCCCTTGGACAAATGTAGTTGATGACCCCTGCCATATATAAATATTTGAACTCAAAAACATGAATGTGCCACATTAATAAAGCATTGACATTAATACACTACATGTCAGTGATCTCACAGATTTCTTATTCTAAATTTTGTCGTTTTTCAAAATAATGTATTTCATTTAATAGAGATGAATAGAGATTCCTATATAAACCACTGGAGGGAGCTGTTGTACCATCAGTAGTACACAGTAGTGTTTGAGAACCGTCTAAATGAAACCTGTAGAAGCAGCATTCATGCACCACATATCAAACTGCAGGTCTAATTATTCATATCTTTCACTGCACTGTGACTCTATTTAGATTTATCCTTTATTCTTTTTGTTTTACATATTGCTGTGTGTTTTTTTTCCTCTTGTCTTCCACATAAAGCACTTTAAATTCCCTTGTTTTAATGTACTACTCCAATCAACACCTTGGTTGGATTAAACAGCATTTTCAGATGTCACAGTGGTCCTAAGAAGCTAAATGTTGTACCTATTTAGTTGTTTGTGCTGTAAACAAATTAGGATACGTTGTTTGTCTTCACTCGGACGTCCTCTAACTCCTGATTGCAATCAGAGGAACTCTAAGCAGAGTTTGGATCTGACACACACACACACGTTGAAACTGCATTCATGAATTTAGACTCATTTCAGGCTCTAATCAACCTTTATGTAGCTCCAGTAAATGGAGTAAACAGGCAGCAGGTCGCTGAAGTGTTGCTGTGTGATGAGATCAAACAGTCACCACAAAGACGACACACAGCGTCTGTACCAGT